ACCAACTTGAACTACAGCAAACGTGGTTGCGGAAAAGAAAAAAATGAAGAAAACCACCACGAACATTTTTGTTCATTCGTTTCGCGATAAAAATCGATTTCACGCTAGGGNATCGACACCATGCCAATGTCGAATAATGTAATTTAATATTATTTTTTCCGCGATTCTTTTTTTTTTTTTTTTTTTCCTAACGACACTCACGCGAGATAACCGCGTTTTTTGTTTTAAACATTTTTCATTTATCTCTTTCCCTACTTTGTAATACTTTTTATTCTACCGTTCCGGCGCGAACCATTAAGTGCTTTATATTTTTTTTAATAACTTTAATTAATTAGCTGATTTAAAGATCGAGAATGGTTTATTCCACCAATCGAGGCGTTATCGATTATAAGTTTATATCCTCTACGTATTATTTACTTTTTTTTTTTTTTTGCATTTTAAACCGCTCCTTTAACATCATTAACAATTTTTTTTTTAATTATTATTCTTTAACCATTATAATAATATTTAAAAGATAACGTGATTGGTTGTCGCGTTAATGCCAATGGCCAAAACGTGCTTATAGCATTTTTCTTTTTCTTTTTTTCACGTTTTATTATACACGTTCAACAAAATCCGCCTGTGAGACTATCCGTTAACGAGATTCCGATGTTTCTTTTCTCTTCTTCTTATTCTTTTTTTTTTCTTTCTTCCTTTACTCGCTTTGACAAGCTTTTTTTCTTTTTTTTCAATTTAATTGTCGAGTATATTTTCGTTTCCCGTTTGTTCAAACGCAGAGATTGCGCTTATTATTTTTTTTTTTTGAGCTTCTTTTCCTTTCTTTTTTTTTTTTTTTGTTTTGTTTTACGTTTTACGTTTTATCATTCGCGAGAGGAATAAATTATTCTGCTCTAAGGGGAGTTAAGATTTAGGTCTTCGACGTGCTTTGTGCTCGTGTTAAACACTTGGGAAAATTGCGATTAATCTTGTTCTAAAGAGATATGGTTCTCGTGTGCATCGCTTTTAGGGCGATCGCAAGTGTTGGAAACTTGGTTGCGCGTGTAGCTAGTCGATAATAGACATAATTGGAATTATGTTACATTGAAACAACAGCGAGCGACAGAGAAGAATTAAATTTATGAAAGAGAGATTTTATAGAGATATTAAAAGGTGAGTCGGATATTATTCGATAGTTTCTCAAGAATTTTGGATAATTTATAAATAAAAAATAACAAATCTAAAAATTTGAATTCTAGGCCAAGTTCAACTAGGTCTAGTTGAAGATCATTAGTTTCAAATTTCGAAGAGATAATAGCACTTATGTAGAAAATAAGCGCCATTTGTTATCTTAAATATTTTGGATCGTATGCATGATTTATATATCTCTTATCTTATATAATCTTATATGAAATAATTTTAACATAGCAAAGTAAAGTAATTTTTAATATCTTATTATTCAGTAATTTAGTTCAAAATTTTTTATAGAATATTATTGGAAAAAAGAAATTTAGGAAAAATTTGTATATAGAAAAATACAGAAAAGAAAATGGATTTTTAAAAGAAAGAACCATTTGTTTATATTTCGATTTTTATAACAACTAAATTACCTTCTTCTATCTTATTTAATTGTCTCTTTTACATTTTGCAAAATCTATTCGTATAAGAACAGAGATTCTATTTAATATAAATTTCATTTACACGAAGAAAATTTTACTAATATTTTATTTGAGCTTTAACTGATTTTCTTGATAACAGATGGCGCCAAATATTCAAATATTCAAGTAACTACCCAAATAAATAAATACATAGAGAAATAATTTAAAGAATATTTTTATCAAAAGTACACAAGAAAACACAAAGGGAACACGAGAAAACACAACATATTAAAACAACAATACAAAATTACCACGTATCGTGTTTCGTATCATCGCATGTTGTCAACGTTGTTTCAATGTAATCCCAATTCGAAACGAGGCAAGATGAAGCAAACAGTCGTCATTGTCAAAATTAACGAAGTACAGCATACGAAATCTAACATGATACTCGATGATTCTTAAAGCTCGCAAAGGAAATCCTATTTCCCGCCGACATTAACCTGTACGAGCGTCCGAATCTCGGATCAAAGCCGCGAGTCAAAATATTAAATGGTATATCGTATGAAATACTGAGCATTCGTATATTCGTATATTGACTAAAATGTTTCCTCTGCGCCTAGACTCGTAGCAAATGAGGAGAAATTCGACGAGACGCCGACAGGTGAACGACGAACGCTCTTACGACCTAACCTCTACGATATAATAGCTTCGTTTTTTCGATGATACGTCAAGCCTGGCGGTGTCGCTTCTCTTTATCTTATTCTTCGAGTGCGAATATTAAAATTCTAATAGTAAAACTCTCGAGATAATTCGTTCTTTACAATTTTCTCTTTCTTTACAGAATATAAACATTTCTTTTTTTTTTTTTTTTTTTTTTTAATGGACATTGAAATGAGCACGAAACGTCCATTTACAAATATAATAACTCTCGAGAATCGTTTCACGAAAATTTCAAGAAAAATAATTCTCAAGAGTTTTATAAAAATTACTCTGAATTATTTCAACGAAATATCTATTGGTAAAAATTAATATTTTCAAAAGCAATTATTCTTCATCGATTCTCAATGTTCATCGTCAACTCTTAAGAGTAATTTTTTGACTATTCTCAACGCAATATCCATTAAAAGAAATTCTCGAAAATTTTACTCTCGAACATATTCGCAACTCCCTCGAGACAAATACGCTACGAAACTAAACTAAAGCGCGACGTTCGACGATAAAAATTCATTCAGCGCGATGCGGTTCCTAATTCAATGGCGAATTATGCCAAATGCGACGTGACTAAATCATCATATCGATAATTATTATATTTCGAACGAAAGATCCTTGCGTATTTCTTTATTCATCCATCTTCAACAATCATCTCTTCGAATCTTTTTCTCTCCTCCTTTCCTCTTTTCTTTGATATCTCTCGCAGGAAAGGGAATTCCACTTTGCAGCGGAAAAAAAAAACCAATCGGAACAGATGCGCGTCCGTTGACGGATAATCCGACGTGGGTACTTTCACAGACGAACTGCAAATGGTTTGGCCATTTAGTTTGGCGAGTAGCGTGCGGTCGAAGAGCAAGAGATTATTCAAGGATCAGGCATCGGCGATCGCTCGAGATCTCGGTGTGTATGTATACGCGTGTGTGTGTGTGTGTGTGTGTGTGTGTGTGTGTGTGTGTGTGTGTGTGTGTGTGTGTCAAGTGTTTTGGCGGATCAAATCAAGGCAAGCGAGAAATCGATCCGGCATCGAAGAACGAGGAATAAAGCAGCGAGAATTCGAGGACGAGCCATTCGAGGATCTTCGAGATTCGCATTCTTTTCGAAGGCGACTCGACTTAAAAAAGTAAATATACACTAAGAGCTCCGAGTTGCTTTCGAAAATCGTGTCGCGAGTCCCGTTGATCCGATCGTTGAAGAAGACGCCATTTTTATGTATACAAATATCGACTCGATCTTAATCGAGTCGAGTTCAACGAGGAAATTCAATTCGAGGATCTCGAGGATGCGGAAGTCTGTCTCCTTGGAACAGTTAGATCGAAAAAGTTTCTTTTTCTTTTTTTTTTTTTTTTCTTTTTCTTTTTCTTTTTTTTCTTTTCTGTGAACATATATATATATACGTATGTATGCTAGTCTCGTGTGTATCGTGTGTAGATTAGATTGTATGTGTGAGATAGAATCGTGAATGTATCCTACGTGTGGTGTAGATGTGAGAGAGAGTGTGTACCGTGTGTGCGCTTGTACAAGCGTTGTACAGAGGGACAATAACAAACGATTGTCCGCCGATAGAAGGGAAAGTAAAAACAAGAAGAGAGAAAAAAAAAAAAAATAAAAAAAAAAAAAAAAACGAAGAAAGATGTTGCGCCAAGTCAATCGTCATCATCGTCATTCCATACTTTTCGAGTCATCCATTACCCGCGTCGTCACTCTCTCCCTCTCTCTCTCTCTCTCTCACTTACTCTCTGACTCACTTTCTTACTCTCTTTCTCTCTCTCCCTTTCTCTCTCTCTCTTTCTCTCCGCTTGCTTACGCCGGATTTCTCTTACGAGCTAACAAAGAACATTATTTTTTTTTTTTTGTTTTCATTTGTTTATTACGCCGCGCTGTCGCACGCCATCTTAATAATCGTAGTATAAATCCCCCGTTTTATTTAAGTTGTCGTCGATTTACTTACTAGTGATACGGATAATAAAATTCACTGGCATTGTTTTGAAACATCTTGGCAGTTCATTGTGTGTAGTTTATTATTTTTTACTTATTATTCTCTTTATTATTTTATTTTATTTTATTTATTTATTTTTTTTTTTGTTGCTTTTTCAGTTTTTCAGAATATTAACGTGTGCGCTTTGCTCTTAATCTGTGTGTTCTCTCTTTCGTCTGTTTCCTCCTTTCTCGCTCTCTCTCTCTCTCTCTCTCTCTCTTTTTTTTCTATTCCCTTTTTATTCCTTTTTCCCCTCTCTTTATCTTTCCCTATTTTATAAGCACAATAAAAGGAGCAGTATGTACCCTTCTTCAGCTTCTCTCTTTTTCGTTTGTATATATATATATACATATTTCTCTCTCTCTCTCTCTCTCTCTCTCTCTCTTTATCTATCTCTATCTCTCGTTTTTTTTTCCATGAGATTCTCTGACTGGCACAGTAGGTACTAAAATCAAAACGAAAAATCGTTTCGATGGTTGTACCCGTAAACTCGATTTATTCTTTAACAAATTCAAACGCTTCGACGGTCCTCGGTGGTCTATGTTCTGTCTCTTGCGTATGTATGCGTGTGTATGCGCGTGTTGTGTGTATATATATATACATATATATTATATATATACATATATATTATATATATACATATATATTATATATACATATATATTATATATATACATATATATATATACACGTGTTTTTTTTACACGTGTGTACGCAGATTTATTTGCATCCCGTGCAACGTTTATTGAAACGAATTTCGAAGACGAGATGATCCTTTGCTTTTTAGTTGTATTCTATTCTAGGGGGCAGTTTTCAACGAATAAAAAACGGTTTCAACACGTTAGTTTCAAGGGCGAGTATATTTGATTTGTAAAAATTTAATTTATTATAGTATATTGATTAAACGTAATCGTAATTTATATCTTATTCTTCTCGAAATATCAATTGTTATATTGATAACAATTATAGATTTATATATATATCGTTAAGAAGTGATGATTAAACTTGTTGGCATTTCATAAAGGAAAACAAGAATAAGATAAAAATAATGATGGATCGAATCCGAAATTTAACGATGGTTTTCTCTTTTCTCTTTTCCTTTAAGAAATATATTTATTTTACCAAGAAGTAAAATCTTAATCAATTTTGATATTTGGAATCTCCTTCTTCAAACACTTTCATTACATCAATACCAATTAAAATCGCTATATAAATTATAATAAAAACAAATTCAATATCATAAAATGCCTTCTATTGAACAAGAGTTTCGAATTACAAAGAATTTCGACGTTTATTATTAGAACCTCGATATCGTCCTACGCTTAAAAATTACACGTACAACAAACATCGAATCAACTCGATAACAAATTCACAATAAAATCACAATAAAAGCTAGAAAATGAAATTTACATTCGCCAACAGGCAGCTGGCTATCTTCGAGTGAAAAATCGCGTCAACCGAGAGAGAGAGGAATTCGATCCCCTTCCACCCCCTATCATCACAACGAATGCCAGGGATGCAGATACCTCGGCGTGGCCTGCATGCGTGTTCGTATATGCGTGTATGTATGCGTGTACGTGTATGTGTCAGTGTTTCCTTTTAACGCGCCTGTTATGTAGGCGCATTTTCAACGTGTCTCGCTAAGGCGTCCTCTTCGAATGAACTACATGACGAGATATATACATATCTCTTATCTTTATGTATATTATTTATAATATATATATATATGTATGTATAGTATGTATATCATAAAGAATACGAAGAGCCTAGTGTCCTCGCATCGTTTTCTTCCTATCACGGTGCGGATCACCCGAAACGAGGCGTAACACACGATCCTGAGGTTTGAGAAACCCCGATCAGCTGCATGCCTAAGCGTAGGAGAGACATCCAGGTTATGAACGTTGCTCGAATTTCCCTAGCTTGGATCCATACGTGGTTACAGTCGTGGTAATCGTAATCGTCATCGTAATCGTCTCTGTCCTGTTCGCGTCCCTCGCCGTCCGCACCGATGCGCAACACACGATCCTCGTCGTCGACCACCGACTCGGTCAAGCCGGTTGTCTGAGCATATCTGAATCACGTGACGATGATGTGTGGCGCCGACAGTAGGACGGTGATGGTTGCGATGATGGTGAACAGAGTAAAAATGATTAGGCACATTCTGTCGATCACCATCGCCGCGAACTTCCAGTCGTTCGTCACCTTCGTGTTCAACTCCTCGCTTTTCAGCTGATCCGTGATTATCTGGAACAGGAGAGTACAACGTATGATTCACGACACACTCGTTTTCAGGGGCGAGTAAGGGGGATGGTTGGGGGATGGAGGTGGAGGATATTGTAAGGGTGTCGTGAAAATCGGCCACGATTTGGACGAGATTTATGGATTGTTGGAAGAATGGAAGAGGGAATTGGGAATTAATATTAATTTCCTTAAGTTTAATTCATTTTGTGATACGGTTCTATAATAATGGTAGATAGAAGTACTTTGGGTGATATGGTAAATAGAAATTTGTGTAAGAGTATTTTGTCAATTTTCTTAAATAATAATCAAAAGAAATAACATTTTAGGAATTAATACTTATATCTTAAAAGATTTGTTATATTTTAAATAAATAGTTTTCATAGATATACTTGTCAGTTAAAAATGAATTTTTAAATATTATTTGAAGAAAATTACTTCAGTAATAATTTCCAATACTTTTTATTTAAGATATTTGTATTAATTCTTCTTAAAAAATTTTAGGAAATTAAAAGAATATTTTTTCAGATAAGTATGTAAAAAGTTAATGAATACATATAAATTGATAAACAAAAATTTGTATTTAATATTTCAAGGAATGAGCTTATAGCCTAATTATCAATGCATTAATCTCCAAAATATATCTTGTTTTTAAATATTGATGTATGATTGAAAACTCCACGTGTATGTATTGAAATTACATGGAGCATATTTGTTGCTGAATGCATTTATATAAAGTACCACGATGATATATAGGGAAAGTCCTAATTATGTCCTTTTAATAGAGTTTCTCTTCAAGTTTGATCGTGATTTCGTAACTCTCTCGCTGTTTTCACTTGGGACCAATTTATATACTCGATGTTTAAACACTCACATGTAAAACTCAAGATATCCATTAATTCGTGTAATAATTATTACCAAAATTAAACATGCCATTGGTTCAAGCACATAATTTATTATATTTAATGATTTTCTATTTCTTAGTATATACCTAGCTATATATCTTTTTACCAATATAATTATTATAGAAAAACTAATGAATACAATTAAAATTATAAATTATAAATTAGTATACTTTATTTATAATAATTAAAAAGTTATCACAGTTTATGAAATATATTTAAAAAAATACTAATCTCGTCTATTTATAATGTGCATTTATCTATAACTTATTTCCTAAAAATTGTATTTATTTTATTAAAAATCATCTCAATTCTCTATAGCGCTATATTTATTTAATTTCATATAAATAAAAATTTATATAATATAAAGAATTCCAAGAAAATTATAAAGATATAGATATTAAGAATAAATTTTTATTCTACTTTCTTATTAGCATATCCTATTTATCCTATTTCTATTATTTTCTTTGTGACCTTTTTGTTAGAAAAAATAGACTAATTCAGTATTTCTATAATCTTTCCAATTTTAATTAAAATTTGCCTAATGCTTAAAATATTCAAAAAAAAATATTAAATATTAATATTTTAATTAATAATTAAAAGCTTCAACATTGAAATACTTGAATGTTTCCATCTTGAATATCCACTAACCATTAACAATGATCATTTTCCATTGAAATGCTATTTAATCGTCTTTAGACAGAAGAACCAAATGTACAACAGAATTCTCGAAACTTGTTGGAATATGACCATTCAATTGTCTACAATTGTCCCTATCATAGTGTCACCATCGAATAAGAAGTTTCCATCTAATGTTTTCATAATTACAAGCAACGATAGATCTTCCGTATGTTTGACTTTCTCGTGTAAGTTTGACTCGAGGAATAGACTGACTTTAATAATCCTGCACAAACATTGATACAAGAGAGAAATGATTTCATGTACGTCGACACACCACGATATACGTGTCCCTGCTATTATGATACACACATAATACTTACAAGAAAGTTTCCGCACTTACAAGTAAATTAAAACGAGTGTACACTTGGTAATTAGCTGGAGACCGTGTATATTTCGCAAGAACTCGCTAATTGTCATCCTCGTTATTATTAAATGGACGACACTTCTTTCTATTGAAAATAAAGCAACGACTCAAGTCTGTAAACGTTCAAGTGTTTAAGAGCGCGTACGCTTCCTTATGAAAGAGGAGAACGAATTAGTGGCCTAACGAGTTCCTAATTCCTTTTAAAGTTCACTGTACTATGCTGTGCTAGTTTCTAAACGTGAATAAAGTGCAACTTGAATAAAAATTTGTATATTCGTTAAAAATTCTAAATAATCTTGAGGTAAAAATAGAAAGTAAGAATTTTAGTGTTGAAAAGATTAAGTCACTTGAGATAGAGACTAAGAAAATACATTTCCTAGTGTTCTTTTTAATTTACCCTTAAACGTATAATGATCATAAATATGACACTTTTATACATTAATAATTGCTCATCAATTCTCATGTACATCATTTATCAATCAAATAATCTTAATATCTTTTTCAATCTCCATACGTTAAAAAATAATAATATTAATAAAAAAAAAAAAGAGTAACGTAAACCCATAGTACTTCTACCTGACACAAAGAGAAATAGATATTCTATCTTTTTGAAAAAAAAAAAAAAAAAAAAAAAAAAAAATCTACAATCGTAAATCGTCACATCGACAAAATTATAATCCGATTGATCGGATTGCCTCGCGAAACAAAAGCCTCGTGAGAGACTTTACCTTAATCTCTTTGAGGATCATCATGAGCTCGTTTCGGGCGCAGAAACACGCGTTTTGAAGTATCGTTTCGACCTGAGGGCCAGGCGTCTCTGGCGGATGCGGATGATGATGCGGCGTGTGACCAATCTGAATCGCTGCCGGATAAGAGGAGTGTGCCAGTGGCGTTGAGTGTTGATGATGCGGCGTTGCAGCGTGGCTGTGATGATGATGGGGGGTCGCGTGTATGTGACTGTGCCCGTGGCCCATCGTGTGATGGTGGGGGCCAGGGGTACTGTACACGTTGTTCAACAGATTATTGTGGGACGCCAGAGCGTTGTCCTCGAGGTCCAGGACATTCGCTAGGAGGGACTTGCTGCTCCTTTGACGAAGCTCCAGGTCACCGTGACTCTTGCTGGCACCTGTAACCGTGAATTATTATAATGAATAGCTGGTAAGAACGATGACTACTCAGTTTGATCTTTGTTGTTAGTATTTATAAATTTGGAAATGTAGTAAGATTGGAAAGAAGAATAAATTGATGAACATTGTATTATGTTAAATATTAGCTATTTTTGAAGATATAATAGGAAGATTATATGACTAATTTGATAAAATTTAATAAATTTAATAAATATTAGCTATTTTTATTAGCTAATTAAATTTAATAAATATTAGCTATTCTTGAAAATTCTTTTGATTTTGTAGATATAATAGGAAGATTATATGACTAATTTGATAAAATTAATAATTAATGGGAAATGTAGACATAACAATTTACAAATATTTTAAAACAATAATAAAAGTGTATGTACAGCATATCTGTTAAAGAATAGATAAGAATGATAAAGTAAAATAAATAAAGAAAAGTTTCTTAATTTTGTATGACACGTGAGAAGAAGAAATAAATAAATACATATACAATAGGAAAATATCTTGTGTATATACAATAAATATACAATCTGTCAAAGAATAGATAGGAATGGTAAATTAAGAAGAAACGGATGATTAATTTCTGGCAACATTTCACTTTCTTCTTAATCTCTTGCTTATACACATGCACATGACTTAAAAACAAGTCAAGTGTGTTTAATCAGGAGTATTCTGTGATTCGCATTTCAGTGAGAGTGAGACTGAGAACGGTGTTCATGGTGACACATTAAAACACATTGAAACATTTATATAGATATAAATAAGTATAGTAAATGTTGTCAGTACTTGTGTCGATGCTTTTTCGTGTCACTAAATTACCGGTGACTGGAGACGGTTTTTGAGATTTTTGCGCCTCCCTCTCCTCCTTATCACTTGGTCGTGACATACGAAGTATACAAGGCAGCCAATAAAGGAATACCACTTTCACCTGAAAGTTTGAAGTGCGATCTATAATAAATAAATAAATTATACTCTAAAATAAGATTAATTGAACAGAAATATACATTATTCAAACACGTTGCTCCATATATAATTATTATTAACTGCATAATTTTATTCGGATAGATGAAATATAAGAGAGAATACAAATTGATTTTCTATGTTATAGAAGAAAAAAAAATTAAGGATTTAATAGGAAATGGCGTTTATGAGATTCTCAAAATCCAAAGGATATGGTAGACAATAAAATAGGTGGACGAGGTGGAAGCTTAGTATCACTCGAAAGGGTGAATCCAGTTAACGACCAAAGTAAACCTGAAGTGTACTTGGAAGCACATGAGCTCACGCTAATTGAAGTCACATATACGATGGGATCATCCAAGAAACCACTTCGCACAGTGAGGATAGAGAAAACGAGGAAAATCCTCGAATTTTAGTCATAAGAAATAAAATTAAATGTATTTTATTAAACTTTCATTATAATACATATTTTCTAGATATAAATAATTCGTAAATTTATTTGAATAATTTGTTGAAAAAAAAAAAGAAATTCTTTGAAATATATTTTTAAGCATGGTCAATTATTGACACATTCGCATTTGCCGACGAAAATTCATGTTATTTCAAATGCTGTTTTTGCCGCTGATGTAAATTTATATCATTTGTTCCTTTGATCTTTCTCATGTATTTAAAATTTAATATTTTCTCTCTTCGAATTTATAACGAGAAAATCTTTTAATTTTGTATATTGTTAATTGTTAATCTAAAATTTATTAATAATAAATTTTGTAATTTTTAATGACAGAAGATTGCAACAATTCCATCTGAATAAGTTTGTTTATTTAAAATTCAAGTAAATTTAAAATCAATAGTGTTTGAAAATACACAGATAATCAATTGATTTAAAATAATACATTTTTTAAATTCCAAATTATTCAAATAAAAAATTATTCTGAATAATTGTGAAGTAATAAATAGCATGTTACAAACAATATTTCAAACGACAATGATTATTTTAAATATAATTCACGTTTATAGTTTTTGAATCTAACATAAAAACTATAAAAAAAAAAAACAAAAAATTCATAGAAACATGTGTTCCATTTGACCTTGTTTTCGAGTTACAATTTTACATTGCAATATACCAATCAATGTATACCATAGCTTTGAAAATAACTTAAATAGTTCAAAAATCTCTTTTAATTGACAAACAATTGAAAACAAAACTCACTATAACTGGAAAACAAAGCGAAGATTACATATTTGCACAAAACTCTTCTCAACTTGTTTTCTTAAATTCCACCATTAAAATAAATTATAACTTACCCATTCAGACATTTCGTGAGTGTCAGCATTCCGATGATGATAATTTAAAATAAGAATGGTGCTGACTACACTGCTGGCCACCATAAACATAATACAGTTGAAGTACGTTCCTGTGGAAACATGACATGAAATTCAAAAAAAAACTATGACCGGTTCGAAAACGATTCGTTCAATCGTTCATTCAGAAAACCATACATTGTTAAAATCGATTTGGATCATTCAGAGTCGAAATAAATCAATCGTGCAATTTCAATCTCTCAGCCCAATCAAGATGTCAATGGACGTTTGTCGTCTGACCCGCACCATCTCTTACTACTGTCAACCAACTACTATTACTACTACTACTACTACTACTACTACTACTACTACTGTCAGAATCGAGCTCTGACTGCAATAGATGGAGTCGTCAATTCGGTCGGGGATAAAGGATTGCGTACAATAAGCCTCACATTACGATGTGCCGGCCAGATGTACGTGATCCAAGACGTCTCTGTATGGATCCTCCTACGAGGAGGAGGTTGTACGAAACACCAAAGAATTTTCATAGGAATAAGTCTCGACTCGATTCTCCTCGATAACAATGTGGAATGTTTTTCCATTGAAAGGTAAATGACTTGTAAATGGAGATGAAATCATTTGCTTTTTTTCTTTTTTTGGAATCAAAAAATATCCTTGATATCAGCGATATCAATTCAATTTCAAATTCAAATATAATAATAATTTGCAAGCAGAAAATTCAATAATTTAAAAAATGATTTAAGTTTTTGTAATAGTACATGTGATAATCTTTTCAAAAGTGTAGATTTCATTTAAATATACAGGTTTCTGTATACACAAAATATATTTTGATATTAATTGATATATACATTCCCTCAAATATCAGACACTAGGTCATTAAAAAACGCTAAAAAATTTTCAAAAAATACAGCTTTCTTAGAGCCATTTTCGCCGAGTTATAACTTATTTAGGGATAAAGACGAACGAGAAGATACAATTTTCTAACAAAGACACATTGAAAATGTTCGAGGGAATGACGGACAAAGGGAGATAGAATCGGGAGGCCCCTACACGTATATTTCATTCCTCCAGCGGGCTCCAATCCAAATTTTCAATGAAAACCGCACGTTGAGAAACCGTACAAATCTAAACTGAAAAGACAGAATCCACTGAATCATATCCCAAAAGAATTCCATGGGAAACCTTTTCTCGAAACCTTTATCTTACATCCGTCTCGTTCTCAAATATTTAAAATATTTTCTTTCTATTTGTTGTTAACGTTGTATAACCATTCAAAAAAAAAAAAAAAAATCTTGACTCTATTTCGGTTAAAAAGACGACTGTGAGAGTGAAACGAAATCTCGACGAGACGCAAAGGGGTTGAAAATTGACGGGCTTACCCAGCAGAGGCACGGCGTCCGAAGTCGCTGGCATTGTCTCGGCCACCATATTCAGGAACACAGTGAGGGACAAGAGGATGGTTACCCCTGCAAAAGAGGTTCGTTCGACCAATTAATTATCACCAACGCGATAACCAAACGAGATTAATCCATAACTAAGGGTGAGAGACTCGCAGCTGATGATGCTCTAATTAAAAATATTATTATAAATCTATCTAATTTTGCAGGATATAAAATTCTTTTGATTGATTGCTATTAACAAATTTTACGTGACTTAAATTTTTTCCTTTCTATATTTTTAATTCTCTTGTAAACTTTTTTCTTTGACTTTGAAATATTCGAAATTTAAAAATTTCAGTATTAACAAGATATCGTATATTTTAAATATTTATAGTGAATAAATTGTTAAGTAAATGAAAAATTGTAATAACTAAAGCGAATAATATTCATTAGTTTCTGAGAAAGCAATTTCTAACAGTTTATTGAAACTACTAAATATAATTACTGTTGCAAGATTGATTATTAATTTCTCTCATTTAACTGTTAATTCCTAGCATCGAAAACGCTTTGTGATGTTCGCCATATTTATAAAGGATAATTTCACGTATTTGAGCGTAAAACCACGAAGGGTCGTGGTCGATCAATAAACTCGTGTATTTCACCGGCACACGAATATCTATGATCGACATCGACGCGGCAGCAATCTCCCATACAATTCAATACGTTACGAGAACTTCCACTGAATCTAATCACGTGAGCTGTTATAGCGTGCTCCGAAGCCTGCAAGGAATTGCAATTATGCTAGCAAGCGATTTCAACTTGCTGGAAGTGAGTAATCATCGGAATCTCGGCTTGGACTCATAATGAAACAATGCGATGGCTTTGCGAACGCATCGATATCTACATTGTTGACTTTTATTCCGACTTTTATTAATAATTCATTTAAGAATTTTAATTTTTTTTTTTTTTATTCATTTCTGAAGCCTCAAAATAATCTCGATTTCTATATTATACATTTATTGCTTGTCTATTTAAAAAGGAGAAAATATCGAAAATAAATATCGCTAGATGTAAAAATACTTGTATCAATATTTCGACTTAATTGTCAGATGGATTGACATTATTTCAAAAGTTTAAATTAAATGATTCCAATTTTAAAATTTTAATGATCAAGCTTTATTATTCTTTGTCATTCTATTGTTAGAAATTGTTATTTGACCTGCAAATAAACGTTTGCTACGAAAATGGAAAAATCTCAAGGAACATCTCTCATATCATTTTCTTGCGACATTTAACAGCGGTTATCCAACTTACCTAGAGATAGTTTCTCGCCGGAATCGGGTGGCAAGGTGAATCCCAGAACGGCCATGCTGGCAATCAGGACACACGGCACGATCAGGTTGAAGAAATAGTAAAGAGTCCGCCTTCTGATGATCACCACGAACGTTATATCTATATACGGTTCTGGGCAGCAATTGTAATAAATTTCGTTTCTTTTACCGGGCACCCCTGTAACGAGACGATGAGGAAATATATGAAAAGGCAAATCGCCACGAATTTTTTCGATACGTGAAAAATTTTGATATTTAAAATAGAGAATATATATATATACAATGAACTTTGATGGATTCTAATAATTTTAATAATCGAATAATGTGGATTTTAAATAAAAGAAATTCGATGAGATTAAATGAAAAAGATATATAAGGATATAATATTTTTGTTTACAGAAAATGGAGCTCATAAACGTTGTTTTTCCAAAATTAAATTATTTGACATTCAATAAAATAATTTTTGCGTATTCGTTTAAGAGAAAGAGAAGGGATGAATGTGTGTAAGAAGTTAAATTTTGTTTTACTAGTTTTTAACGATGAATATCGGATAAAGCAAGCGCTATATAATTACTCTGAGATATCGTTGATTGTAAATGTAAATTTCAACTTGAATATACGAGTTATAGGAATAATGGATTCAAATAATATGCTAAATAATTCGATTTATAATATAATCTCAGTAGATTTTGATATTGAGAAATTTTCGCAGTATAATACGAAAAAAAAAAAAAATAAACAAACAAAATTATAATTTTACCCAATATTGAATTCTCTCAACTCGAATTACAAAGGTAAAACAATTCATCTAAAACGCGTGATAAATAACTCGTCTCATAGGAAATTCAAATTTCGATCCGACACAGAGATTTTCACAGAGATTATCCAGATTTCCGAATCACGGAATTGACCCCTTGAATTCGATGATAAAATAACGCGCCTAAACTAATACGCGAAAAATAATCTTTCTTCTCTTCTAGTTTCAACACAGATTCAAGTTATTGTTAAATTCAAGTTTTAATATAGAAATTGGTGTGACGAGCACACAAAGAGTCTTCAGAAGTGGCGTGAAAAATAAAGAGCACGTAGAAATAATAGAAAAGAAAAAAGAGTAGATCCAATATCGATGACTCGGCCATTTCATCTAACAGCTTGCTCGAATTACACCGGTGAAGAAGAGACGGTGACTTCATTTTCGAGTGTTCCTTCGATTACATCCACATTCTGCTCGGCTCACTTAAGATACATTTCTGGCTTTCATAAGCTCTCTATGCATACCGCGTATACACCGCGACACCTTACGTGCATACGTGCATCCCGGAAATACAAGCTACGTGGCCGTGCACAACGTGACATTTTTATATTCTACATAATTTGCATTTTGCAAAACCGCGCTGTCTACTAGGCGTTATCTTAGCTGGAAGATATATTATTCGGTGAATCACGTTTTATTTTTTTTTTATTTTGTTATTAAAATGTCGCGTGTGCTCTCAGGATACTTGTAAAATTGATATTCTTCGGGGAATAGATTTGTTTTTTGGGTTGAGAAAGAGTCGTGTGTGCGATAGGCGCGACTGGAAAATTTATATTCGTTAAGGAATTTTAAATACTTTATTTTTAGTAGCGAGGGAAGAAACTGTTTTGTAATTTTTTTAATTTTAATAATTGTAATTTTTTATAATGATATCATTTATATTTCTTGATCAAGGTGAATATATTATTTATTAGTATACAATTTTACTAAAAATACTTTTATATTTTTAATGCATAGATATAATTTAAGTATTTTTATTCTCTATTTATACTCTTATCGTTATTATGTTCTATATTATAGAATAAATAAAGTAATTATAAAGATTTAAGTACGTTTTTTTTTACTTTTAATTTCAATAAAAAATATTTAAAAAGTTACTTGGATGATGAAAGACATAATTTTTCTCCGTTAAGATATTGACATTAAAATTCGAAAGAAAGTTTTTTTCTTACATTATATTCAATTATTTTTGAAGAAATGGAATATCCTTTATATAATTTAATTAAATTAGAAAATCAATTAGATACTTAAATACACTTCACATAAATTTGTAATAATTTTTTAATTAATTCGATTTTATTTTTTAAATCAAAATGAATTGGAATTTATACAGTGAAATAAAAAGCAAATTTTCTGATAAGTTAATTGATAATTTTCCAGTTTGCCAATCGGGAAATATGCAGTTTGGGGAAAAAAGGACCACGTGAATTCGCTTCCATTGAAGGAAGATTCTGTTCAAGGCAAACATTGCGCGATATCCCGCAGTATGGAAGTAAATAATTCAGCATGCGACTACGCTAATGATGCATTATTAAAGAACCTTATTCGGCCATTATTTGTCGAAATCCTATTAAAAATTCGAATCAAATATTCCTTTCTTCGTGAGGTTAAAAATTTCCAACTGTAATTTCCCAAAATTTAAAATCACAAATATAACATCTCAGAAGTATAAAGAAGAATTAAAATATATATATTAAATAATAAATCTAGATAGATATATATTTTACCATTGAATTCTACAAAATTAATCAACAAATATTCATCCTGTAATGAATTTAGCAATAATCATTTCTTTATTTTTTAAGTATTTATAATTACTATTATTATTAATTAAATTATCAAAAGTATAAAGAAGAATTAAAATATATATATTAGATAATAAATTTAGACAGATATATATTTTATCATTAAATTTCACATTGAAATTAATCAACAAATATTCATTCTGTAATGAATTTAGCAATAATCATTTCTTTATTTTTTTAAGTATTTATAATTACTATTATTACTTATTAATTAAATTATTAAAAGTATAAAGAAGAATTAAAATATATATATATTAAATAATAAATCTATTATTAAATTAATCAACAAATATTCATTCTGTAATGAATTTAGGAATAATCATTTCTTTATTTTTGTAAGTATTTATAATTACTATTATTACTAGTTAATTAAATTATCAAAAGTATGAAGAAAAATTAAAAAATATATATTAGATAATAAATCTAAACAGATATATTGAATTCCACATTGAAATTAATGAACAAATATTTATTCCGTAATGAATTCAAGAATAATTATTTCTTTATTTTTTTAAATATTTATAATTACTATTATTACCAGTTAATTAAATTATCATCAGCAGTTAATTATATATCTAATTATCCATTTTTCTTTTCTCCTTGCTAATAAATAAAACTTCTTAAACTACTTTTCTTGCATTTATTTCATCGAGAAAGATGCACAGTGTTTTAAAGTGTCCACTTTTGCAGGGTCTAATAAGATCCCTCTAACTAGTGTCCTCTGGCGATACGCGAGCGAGTTATAATGCAAGAACGATAACAAAATACATTAATATATACGTGTTAATTTAAAAAGAGCGCGTTACATCATACATTTATTACGTACATCTCTGTAATTCTCCACACGTCTCCAACAATTTCGTGTGTTAAACCAATTTAAATTTATTCCTATGCATTCTTTCGATGCATTACTTTTACACATCAAAAACTATATAGAGAACCGTTCGTATTTCGTTCATTCAAAACTTTTCTTTTAATTCAATATTATAATACACGCAGAAAGACGATGTCATTAATTCGGTTATAAAATATGCGAAAGATTAATCCAAAGTTCATCCGTGATTGAAATAATTAGAATCCAGAGAGAACACGGAACCAACGAATTAATTCCCGCCCAGTCGAAAATGTTACAATCACTGTGCAACCCCATCCCCTCCCTCGATGAAAATCTGGATTAGATAAAGCTCGCCCACCACTAGTAAGACGCAGCTGGTGTCGACCTATGAAAACGATTGATCGCGCCTTTGTGCCCCGCTGGAACTTGCACAAGGGGGATTTTAGAATTGCTAATCGTTCCAGGAACCGTTTTCACGCCGAGCAAACTCGTGTGTGGATACGAATACCTACCCGATAAGGGGTTGTAAAAACTCACCTAACAGATCCCACTCGCCGTTAGTGATGAAACTGCTGATGTCACCTCCGGCTTCGTCTTGCAGTTGCAGGTCCAACTGTTGAAAATTTATTACGGCCGATTAGGGGAGAGTTATTGTGTACCGCAGTGCGCAACAGTTTGCGCGCGGGGATGATTTTCGAGGAAATGGATTTGATTTATTTTTTAAGGTAATTTTAAAAGTAAATTCATGTAATCGAAATATAAAGGTTTCTCCATTTCGAAATGGAAAAACTTTAGATGTTATATCGATGTTAAATCGGATATAAATTTTTATTATATATAGGAAAAGAAAATTCTGTATTTCGATTATATAATTTTTATACGCGCATGAAAAATTAATTTCTTAATTAGAAATACGAAAAAGCTTCTAATTTAAATATATAGATTTTATAAATTATATATATATATAAATTATACATTTTCCTCCAACATATCTTTGAATAAAAATATTTCTAACTAAGATTTCATGATGAATTGTCGAACAAATTTCATCGTACATATCCCTCTGTTTATTATAATTTTGTTAAAGATAGATAAAATAGGCGTTATTAAGCAAGACGTGGCAAAATTAATTGCCTGTCGAACACGATGCACTACATAAAGTTACTTCGATATCGATCGGCGTTCCACGTCAGAAAAAGTAAAGGGGAATGATCGATAAGAGGAAGCTGTTTTATCTCTCTCTCTCTCTCTCTCTCGAGGGTTGTGCATCAAATTGAATGTAGTCTAGGAGAGCGTCGTATATTCCCTCTCCCCCCTATTACCACTCCAACCCCTTCGCTACTTCGTTCTGCTTATTGTCCTCCTTAATGAACCCTCAAGCATTCTCGAATTCCGTCGCACCGTGTAATTCGCATCCTCAATTTTAATTATTCAGAATGATCTCGCAGACGACAAATGAAGATAGGCCGAACGTTCTCAATGCACTATTGCACTGGCAAATTGTAAACATTCCATCCTTTATTGCATTCTGCCAAATTTCAATTTCAAATTTTATTTTAAATATGGAACGTATAGATATCGTTCAATAATTAAGAGAGAGAGAAAAAAAAAACGAAAAGAAAGTTATTAATAATAATTTTTAACGAAAAATTTATCTTCGTTATCTTTATAAATTATAAATCGTATCTTTGTAAATTTATTATTAAATCGGAATCATAGATGGCTTCACTTATTTCGAAGGAAAGATTATACAAATATGAATATATTTTGTCAACAGGAATCAAATAAATTCGTTTCAAATAAAATCGTTCGTTTTAAAAAGAAGAACCTTATTTCAAAGAAAAGGTTATCGCAAATATTGCACGTTTGACAATTTATTTAACGATGAAGAAAATCGTGAAAAAGGGTAACGGATAAGTGGATGAGGGTTAAAAAAATGTGTCCAATGTTGTCGCGTAATTTTCAACATTTTCCAGCAATCAACACGAAGGTATTAACGTCGAAGAAAATTTGGCTCAGTCCATCCGGCCATTGTGTTAACCTTGCTGGAACAGCAAGCGAGAAACTGCATTTACTGTGAATTCTCCGCACGCCGCGTTGTCGCGTTTATTGTTACGCGAAATTCACCTTTCTACGAATCACGAAATTTTCACGACCTCTCTTGGAAATAATGTTTCACGGAAACGCCCCCCTGTCCCCCCCTCCCCCCACATTTACATTTACATCCGTGCTAAAAAGACCGTGAGCGCGGACACACTTTAACGAAATTAACGGTTTATGAGATTAAACGGGGAGGGTTCCCCCTTGAAAAGGTACATTTCGATTCTTTAAATCCCATTCACTTCGTATTATACGTAATTGCTGCATACGTAAATTTCGTCCCCCGATGAAAGTTTATGTAACCGGGTAAATTAAATCGGGAGAACTCGGTCTTGATAGATTGAAACAATGGGGATAATCGAATTTAAAACTCGACTTATTATATTTAAATTATTCTTTCCTTTATATCACGTATGTGATAGAATTTATATTCGAGAACATTGTGTAAAAGAATTCGTCGAAGTCGCGCCGATGGAAGGGAAAAAGGAAACACATAGGGATATATTATGTAGGTTCTTGAAGAACTCTTATTCTTGAAGAACAGGATTAATTGTAAATTGAAAGTGATAATAATTTGAAAAATTTGTGTGTGACGAAAGGGATAATTTGTATTAGGGATTGAAAGATGTTTTGTAAAATATATATAAGTTTGAAGATATTCTGAAAATCGAAAGAAAATCGAGACATGTGGTTGTCGAAAAATTGAAAGAATCAAGATTGTTGACAGCGATGAATGCAGGTAAATTCACTTTCAATCAATCGAATCTTGCTGGAGCAACCAATATTTTCTAGCAAACAGAGTATAATTGAAAGGTTTGACAACCTTCTCAAAAATTCCATTTTCATAATTTTCTTACCTTGCTCCATTGCAAAAGTTAGGAAGAGGAAGACGAGAACTTACGAGATGATTAAAGAATATTCAAATTTTCTCATATAATTAAAATAGAATGCATTAGTCGTAAGAATTAAACTTCTTAATATTATGAAAAATTAATACTTGAAAAATAAATAAATGAAAATAAATAAAATAATAAATAATTAATAAAATAAGTATTCGAATATCTCGAGGATTTGATTGTAAAATAATCATCGAGTAAAATTATCGAATAAAATTCAATTTTAAATTTTCTTTACGATTTCTCAAATACGAAACTTTCATATTTTACGCATTTTGAATTTTCAAAATTTAAAGAAATGGAATACAAATAAATTAAATTTTTTAAAGGAAACAATAAAATATAAATATCAACGAGAAACTATAAGACAAGAAAATCAAATAAATCACCAATAGTGTCATACGATTCTCACGTATATCAAATCCTATATATCATACATGTTTTCAAGAAAAAGAAATACATCATTCTCACAATTAAATTACCGTTCAAAACGTAAAGTAAATTTATCGAACTTCAATTACAACAAGTTTTAATTGTTTAGAATAAAGAGAACCACTTTTCTTTTCAAACTTATCCCAAACAACATCCTTTCCTCCAACATGATAATCTTCACCTTCCTCTCTCTACCAAAGACAGTAGTAAATCACGAGTCCAACTTAAGCACAAGACTTAACTCCATAACCTGAACTATTAAATAAAATCTCGCCATTAAAGGATCTCAAATGATACACATACGTACATATATATTTAATTTCCATTAAATCGACTGCTCTTTCAACGTTTCAAAGTAAAAACCATCCGAGTTAAAGCAGCGAGATACTCGGAAAAGCGTGGCATCTCGACCGTAGCCGAGGGAATTTTTAAACGCATGGCAAACGGAATGGCAGAAGAAACGGATCTGTGCCGACCCATTTACCACCCCCTACCTACCTGAAAGCCGTCGTACGTCCAGGAGCCGAATTTCATCTCGCAGCGTTGATCGTCAAAGGGGAACCAGGTAATGTCTATCTTGCAAGTGCTCTTGAATATGCCGGGCGGCACGTATAAGCAGGTCCCATTGTTCTTCACAACGACGTTCGTCGGATAAGTGCCGTCGAACCCTTCGTCCGCGCTGTAACCAACCATTATTTCACGTTAAACGAGGTTTGATTGGTTTTCTCGACGAACGGCAAATAGACCGTTCTTCGACCCATATCGATTCTTAAGTTATTAGGTTTTAGGGATTTAATTCATAACCCGGGCACAGTTCTCAGTTCGTTTCTTTTTTTTTTTTTTTTTTTTTAAGATGTTTTTAAGATCCACGACTTTTTTAAACTCTCTTGAAAAGTTTTTTTTCAAGACTCGAGGATTGAAGTTTATTACAACGATCCTCCAAAACTTGTACAATTATAATAATAATAATAATATAATTAAACAGTTATACATATTTTCCTTTGTTCGAAAAGAGACTCGAAAAAATTGTCTGAAAGATGGAACGTCACGAAAGTTGTATTTTTAAATAAATGATAATTTTCTAAATTTTCTAAATTATTGAATAAAGTAGTGATTTGTACGCTGTTAAAATTTGTCGCATGAGTTTGTAGAGAGATGATATCTAAATTCTCTTGAAAAGATTTTTTTCAAGACTCGAGGATTGAAGTTTATTACAACGATCCTCCAAAACTTGTACAATTATAATAATAATAATAATATAAAACAGTTATACATATTTTCCTTTGTTCGAAAAGAGACTCGAAAAAATTGTCTGAAAGATGGAACAACGTCACGAAAGTTGTATTTTTAAATAAATGATAATTTTCTAAATTTTTTAAATTATTGAATAAAGTAGTGAGCTGTTATTTGTTGCATGAGTTTGCAGAGATATTATCTAAATTCTCTTGAAAAGATTTTTTCCAAGATTCGAGGATTGAAGTTTATTATTATATATACAACGATCCTTCAAAACTTGTACAATTATAATTATAATAATGTAATAATAATAATATAATTAAACAGTTATATATATTTTCCTTTGTTCGAAAAGAGATTCGAAAAAATTATTTAAGAAATGGAATGTCACGAAAATTGTATGATTTTTAAATAAATGGTAATTTTCTAAAATTCCAATTATCGAATAAAGTAGTGATTTGTATGCTGTTAAAATTTGTCGCATGAGTTTGTAGAGAAATGTTATCTAAATTCTCTTGAAAAGATTTTTTTCAAGAGTCGAGGATTGAAGTTTATTACAACGATCTTCCAAAACTTGTACAATAATAATAATAATAATAATAATAATAATAATAATAATATAATTAAACTGTTAATAATAATATAATTAACAATTTTTCCTTTGTTCGAAAGAAGATTCGAAAAAATTGTCTGAGAGATGGAACGTCACGAAAATTGGATGCTCTCTTTTTAAATAAATGGTAATTTTTTAAATTCCAATTCCAATAAAGTAGTGATTTATTCGCTGTTAAAATTTGTCGCGTGAGTTTGTAGAGAGATGTTGTATATGCTTCAGCATCTTTTCACCAGTTGAATGCAAGATATAGGAAGAAGGACCTATTTTAACTCTTTTGTCTCTAACGATCCTTTGTTCTCGGGACAGGTGTTTCCGAAAATTAAAATATCGAATTACGGCACATCTAGTTACCAATTTTCTCTCGTGCAATCGATTCTCTTCATCTGTAGCGTTCTGAAGTAGCGCGTTTAATTCGATGTTTCTTCTTAAATAACATATTCCTTAATTATTAAAAACGATATTTAATCACCAAAAATCACGTAGAAGCAATAATTTAAAAGTTAAGAGGAATGTCAAAGAGAAAATATTATTATTTCGACAAATTAGTCAGATATTGGCTAACGTTTAAAAAAGAAAAGAGTGGATTCTTTTTTTAATAAATATTAAAACGAACAATTTTTTATAAAAAAATGTACTATTTAGAATTATAATTTAGAGAAAAACTAAATTTTACGATTTTTTTATTTATAAATATTTTATTAACAAAAAGGAAATTATTTTTTCTATATATCTATTTTCCATTGTCATAAAATGTATTTAAGAATAATTCTCCAAGCGTTTTATATAAAATTATAAAATTTCAATGATGATTTCAACGATAGAAATTGTTATAAAAATTATTTTTCTTAATTCATTATTTATAGATGGATCTCATTATCAAAAAACAACAGGAACAAGTCATTGATCATCGTTACGATTACTACAAAATAACGACACATTCTCCATTTTCATAGGTACCAGTCGATGGAATAAAATATTCAATGCGAATTGAATATTACCTTTTACATCGCTCTTCATCACGCGTTATAAATTAATAAAACTCTTTGCCTACTTATCTTTCCATTTGCGGAGAGAAATTTAACAATAAAGAAACGTCTGCCTCGAAACGATAAATTCTAATTGCCAGACAGGCGTCTGATTTATTCCTCCCGTGGTATGCGCCAGGTGAATCGTAGTTATCGAAAGTAATAAATTTATTATCCATTTAGAAACGTACAATCAAGGTTCTTTTTGCGAGAGAGAGAGAGAGAGAGAGAGAGAGAGAGAGAGAGAGAGAGAGAGAGAGAGAGAGAGAGAGACAAGGTGTAATTAAAAACCTTTCCCTCCCCTCTGTGTAAAGAGAGGATATCAGAAAAATTTTATTCTTCGTTTAGAATTGAATATATCAATCTTGAATATTAACGGGGACGAAGGAATCACGTGGAAGCAATAATTTAGAAGTTAAGAGGAATGTCAAAGAGAAAATATTATAATTTCGACGAATTAGCCAGATATTGGTTAACTTTTTAAAAAAGAAAAGAGTGGATTCCTTTTTTAATAAATAATAAAAATCCATAAGAGACGATAAATTATGATAGATTATATCTTAGAAATAAATTACAGTGGATGATAATTTTGAAATTAGGAGAAAAATCAGAGAGAAACAATTATTACAATTTCTCTCAAGATTAATCGATGTATAATCGTTTATTTTGCAAAGAAAGATTTAATTTTTCAATAAATAATAAATTGGTAAATTATTCAATTAATGGATGAATTATTACTTAATCGCTTATTATTATTATTATTATTTTTAGTTATAATTAAGAAATTTCTCTTCGAAATGAGTAAATCCTCTTTCTTCCCTTTTATTAAAATTTTATTATTAAACGTTAAATTAAATTTAAATTAATACTCGAGTAATTAATATCATTAATTATTGTTTATGATTTTCATTGAATTACGTTATTCATTGTGTCATTGTGAGGTATTAAACGATAAATCATTATCGGTCACGGTAGATCCACATGACAAGTTAATTACAGAAAATTTCAACGAATCCCTTTAATCGTAATATCGATTTCGATCATTCGACGAGCAAAACACTATATTCCATTTATTGTTATTATAATAAAATTATAATGTCATTCTATCGTCTTACTATTTAAATCTATCCTCCTCCATTTTTCCATACACACAGTTAACTTGCTCGACGTTTCCACTTTCAATGACGTGTAACACGGATAGATAGAACCATCAAGTAAGCTGTGACGTTGATCTATCGACGAAAAACTCCTTCAAGTATCTACGTCGAAGCTTCTTCTCATCTTAACCTCTTTGTTATATTTTCTTACTAATGTCACATTTACATGATAAATGTATATCATGTACTCCAAGATTAATTTTGAAAATGATAAGTCTGCTGTTATTGATAACAATAAATTTCATAAATTTATACTATTGAAATCAAAGTATAAAATGTTTCAGTGTAAAAAAAAAAAAAAGAGAAATTTAAAATATAGGAAATTTATCTTTTTCTCTAGAATTTCTTCATTTTTCAAAATATATTTAATGTTTATACTTGATTTCAAATCTTTCAAATAAAATTTTAAACGCATGAATTTTGAGATAGAGATTTTTGTCCAAAATTTTTCTAATATAAACAAAATTTTGTGAAATCTTTATAATTGTTGACATTTTGGACCTTAAATTCAATTCATTTTTTCTTAATTTTTTTAATTTTGAAGGAATATAGGCATATTGTTGATCTATACTACTTGGTCTGTCTGACTGTCATACTATTTGTCCTGTGCAGCCATATGGTTGATCTATACTACTTAATTCATAACTAATATCAATATAAAATTAAATTTTCTTCCAATTCTCTTAGGACTAATTGTTTTTTATTATATATGGCACAAAAATAACCAGAGAATCAAATAAAAACACTACATATCATTAGATTTCTCATTTGTTCCATCGTTGATATAATCAATTATAATACATAAAAATATAGTTTTTTATTTTCATTTCAAAAATAAAGAAAAAAAAAACTGCAATTGCTTATTATTCTACTATATTACATTTTTATAATTGCCCAAAAAAGAAACTAATCTTGTAACATTGATGAATGCTTCTCATTTTCATTCATTCAGATATAATAAATTTATAACAAATAATGTGTAATATATATATATATATATATATATATCACTCGATAGAGAAACTTTTTTCCACAATAAGAAAAGAGACCTCGTTAAAGACACATTACAAAAGGCTAAAATTTGATTGAAATTAACAAATTAACAACGCATCGTATTTTTAACAGTTTAAACAGAAAAATATTTGCGTCTCAACGTTGCACGAAGCGCGCACAAATTGCACGTAAAATTGATGAATTGGAGGAAAATACACGAGCAAACCGAAGGTACACAGGTATGCAGTTTTGTAACATTCGAGGTTCCCCCCCTTGTTCGGGGAGAATCGTATGTGAGTCGAATATTGGCAAATTCTCTTCACCACTTCAGTCGAGGGTAATTCAAAACTTCAAACCAAAGCAATCATTAGAGGGAACGGTGAGCATTGAACTGAGAACCATCTAACTTACAGGTTTGATCTCCTTCGCCCTTTCAGCTTGCTTCATTTAACCACAGTGGAGGCAAATCGGGAATTATTGGAAAGTCAGAGGAAAGATAGATTGCTCGACTCGCTATCTTTCTGCATCCCTCCCTCCCCCAACTCTCATCGGATCTCGCGTTTCGTTCGAATTGATTTCGAAAAGTCGTATCTTTGTGCTACACGAAACCATCTCTATCGGTGCACGTCTATAAAGGTAATTAATTCCCTCT